AGCTAAACGAAATCTTTACAAAACTACTCCCCCGGAGCCTGCACCGCGAAGGATTGTTGTGTCACAAGCGGACGTTCACGTTAGTGCTTCGCCTACACTCCAGCAAATGTTCGACAAGTTTATCTGCGGACGTGAACATGATGTTCATGTCTTTGAATGAGCGGTTTGATGAACTGAATTCTAATTTAGAAAATAGAATTGCATCTAAAGTATCTCAGCTACTTGATAAGCGGTGAATAATGAACTTAGCAAGATTAAGCGCGATGTTAACAATACGGTAGATTCTAAATTTGAATCGGTTAAGCAATCTATTAAGAATGAGCTAACGACTGACCTCGCTGTTCTGCGCGACCAGATTGAATCAATGCAATCTGCTACTTCTACTGTCCCTGAAGTACGCGAAACTCATGATCGATCTCTGAACATTGTTATTCGCAATATGGCCGAGAGCAATAGTGAGAGTACGGCTGAAAGAGTAAATGGGTTGCTTAGGGATGGATTAAAGCTCTCACACGTAAGTGTTAGCAAGGCTGATCGCAAAAAATCATACAATGATGCTAAGCCAGGTGTGATCATTGCTACTTTGAAATCTAAGAAAGACAAACAGGCGATAATGTCGGCTAAACCTCAGTTAAGGCATAGTAAAGGTATACAAAAGTGTTCATTCATCACGATCAAAGCCCCGCTGAACGTAAAGCTAGTTTGAATTTTGCAACCATTTTAGGTGCCCTTAACTCTGACAGTCTTTCCATGAGAGGCTCACGTGTTGTGGCTAGGAAGAACGAGCATAGCAATGAACGTAGCTACTCCTCTGGGTCTCGTGTTACAGAGACTGATGCACAACTCTTTAACGGTGATCGTCGTGAAGACAACTACCGTGACAACTACCGAGGCGATCGCATATGCTGATCGTCGCGATGACCACCGCCGTAATGGTGAGGACGCCGCGGTGAAGTCCCTTCAAAGAGTCAGTGAACGTAGTTGGTAACCGAGGTACCCCGAGGGGGTCTCTTAATCGTGGTCAATCCTGTAGTAAAGCCGTGGGCGTAGGTAGATTCATGCCGGGTTTTGGAACGTTAGAGGGTTGGAAAACAGATAAGAATTCTGACAATTATATTGTAAGATCTTCTTGTGCTTTAACAAATGACCTAGACATTTTAGGCATCGCCGAAAGCCATCTTCTTGCGACGAAGTACTTCACCTAGAGGGTTACACATGGTATGGCCACAACAGAGTCATAATACACAAAAATGCCAAGACCGGTTCTGGTGGGGTCGGTTTTTTCATTAGGAACATTTTTACTTGAACAGTTTACGGTATCTGTTGTTGACCGTTCTAATGAAGGCATTTTACTTCTTAAATTGTGTCATAAATCAGATAATATTACAATCTTACCATGTGTTTGTTATCTTCCGCCGGAAAACTCTTCTAGATTATTTGATGTACATAAATTTTATGATACTTTACTCTCTATAGTATATCAGTATAAAGATTGTGGAACTATGTATATTTGCGGGGATTTCAATAGCAGATGCGGGGATACTGATGATTTTATTAGAGGAGTTGATAATGTAATTGACCGTGAAGTAATTGATTTTAGTCTTAATAGTTATGGTGACTTATTAATAGATTTCTTAATCAATGTAAATATGTGTATGTTAAATGGTCGTGGCAATGTGCACAACGATTTACCTCTATTTCCACTAAAGGTAGATCTGTAGTGGATTATTGTTTTGTTAGTCATGATGATTTTGATAAATTTGAGAAATTCAATGTTTTAAGAGTGACAGATCTTATTAATAAAACTAAACTTGTGTCTTCCATAGCATCTAGTACTCTTCCAGATCATTCGCTTCTTATGGGGACATTTTACTTGATAATAAATGTATTTCAACATGTATTTTGCGAGAGTAAACCGCATGATAAAAGTTATTATAAATATGATGTTACTAATGTTCCAGCTGATTTTATGATTAATCAAGACACTTTATATGATGTTAACTTAGCAATTTCTAAACTTGAATGTAGTTTTCGTACACAATCTGATATTGACGAGGTATATAATGATTGGTGTGGCATTGTTAAACAGAACATGCACGATAAATTACCATTTAAGGAGATTAAATATGGTAATTGTAATAAAAAGACGGCGCCCCGGAAAGCCATGGTGGACTAACCGGTTATCAGATTTGTGGAATAACGTATGTATGTCTGAAAAGGCATGGCTTTCACGTAAAAACAAAGCAAATTGTGCTACATTAAAGTCTAATTATGTAAGTACCCGTAAGTTATTTGATCGCGAAGTTCAGAGAGCTAAGCGTTTCCATTGGTACTCGTTACAATCTCAGCTATTAGATGAGTGCGCTGTTTAATACATCAGAGTTTTGGAAATCTATTGGCAAAATTGGAGTGAATTGTAAAAAAATAATGATATTCCAATGGAAGTTGTTTTAGAGGATGGGTCAATCTCAAGTGATATAGATATTGTTTTTATCAAAATGGAAAAATGATTTTTAGCTCCCTGTTCCAAACGACAAATAATGTTACGGATACATCAAATGATAATGATATTTTTGATGACAATCTCAGTTTTAATACTCATATATCTTTGTTAGAAGTTCGAAAAGCTATTAAATCTGTTCATAAAGGTAAGGCTAGTGGTATAGACAATATTCCTGTTGAAGTACTTAATAATGATGCAACAATCTCTTTTTTACATGTTTTATTTAATATATGTTTTGATAATAGCATTGTCCCGTCGCTTTGGAGTAAGTGCATTATCAACCCCATTCCTAAATCATCCACATTGGATCTCAGAGACCCCTTGTCTTACAGAGGTATTGCCCTAGCCCCTTCTATGTATAAAATTTATTGTTCTATTTTAAATAGTAGGTTAAATGCTTGGCCCGAAAACAATGATAAGGTCTCTGACGAACAAGAATGGTTTTAGAAAAGGTCGGAGTACTACAGACCAAGTACTTTGCTTAACAAATTTAATTGAAACTAGGAAAAAGTTACGTAAATCCACTTTTTGTGCTTTCATAGATTTTAAAAAGGCATACGATACTATAGATAGAAGTATTTTATGGAAGCGCTTATCTGATATAGGCATAAGTGGTAAAAAGTTTGGAGCTGTAAAATCATTATATGTATCGGTAAAGTCATGTGTTAGGGTTAACAATCATAGGACAGGTTGGTTTGATGTTAATTGTGGCCTACGTCAGGGATGTATCCTTTCACCTCTTTTGTTTAATTTATTCATTAACGAGTTGTCCATTTATCTTAAATCATTTGGTAAAGGTATAGACATTGAAACCGAGAATGTTTGTATTATGCTGTACGCCGATGATATTGTTATACTGTCCGAATCAGCAGAGGATCTGCAAGTGTTATTAAATGCTCTAGAATGCTGGTGTTCGCTTAATAATATGAATGTTAATGCCAATAAAAGTAATGTTTGTACACTTCCGACCGAAATCTGAATTATGTACCCAATTTATGTTTACTTGCGGAACGAATCAGATTTGTATTGTTGATAGATATACTTACTTAGGCGTAGTACTTAATGAACATTTAGATTACGATATTACTGTAAAATCTGTTGCCCAGAGTGCCAGTCGTGCTTTAGGATTGCTAATTGCTAAATGCAAAGTCATTGGTCGTGTACCATACGATGATTCTTTACAAAATTATACGACACCGTCGTTTGGCCAGTTATTAATTACAGCGCTCCATTATGGGTTTCCGGTCATATTCTTGTATCGAGGCCGTTCATAACAGAGCTTTGCGTTTCTTTCTTGGTGTCGGGAAATATTCACCTAATGATGGTGTAGCAGGCGATATGGGTTGGAAACCCCCAATTGTCCGACAATGGAAATGTATTTCTTTATACTGGTCTAAGCTATCATGTATGAGTTATGCAAGAATTAATAAACGTTTGGCACTCTGGTCTTATAATAAAGCTAGTCGCTCATGTAGAAACTGGTATTTTCATGTTAGAAGTTATTATGATGTCAATGATTTACATTTGTACACCAGTTTTATCAGTACTATACCTCGTTCTTTTTGCCCATGATGTTGAAAGTGAAAACATTGAATAATTGTATAAGTATTTGGTATAACAAAATCAACAATGTTATTGGGCCTCTGGTCGTGGACGTAATAAGTTACGAGTGTATAGTAAATTTAAAACTGAGTATAAAGTAGAAAAATACTGTAAACTTATATTACCACCAAGTCATAGATCTGCTTTCTGTAAATTCCGTATTGGGGTCGCTCCCATAAGGATTGAAACTGGGAGGTATGAAGGCTTACCAGAGCAAGCCAGGATCTGTCCTTTTTGCAATACTGATAGTATAGAAAACGAATTACATGTTATCTTGAATTGTTCTCTTTACAATGATATAAGGCGGGATTTGTTGGCTAAAGCATGTTCCTTAAATAACAGCTTTTCGACACTGTCTGATGATGACAAAATACCGTTTTCTTTTTACAAACATAGATATGATTCGTATTTGTGCCAAAACCTGTTTTAATATTTTACAAAGACGCCGGTTTTTATTATGTAAATAGCTTCTTATTCATGTAAATATTTCTATCTTTCACATTTGTATGAAATACTACAGCTATTCTTCTTAGCTATTCTTATTAATTTGTTTGTTTGTTTGTTTGTTTGTTTTTTTTTAAATGAAATAAAATCGTTATTTTAGTTATTTTTATACGATTTCTCAGTTTTAATGTTGTACGCTTACTATCTTAAATTGCTTCTTTTAGGTAGTCACGATGTTTCCTTTTATTAGTATGATGGAGTTTTATCACTTAAACGTGTTGTTCTAATGATTTATGTATTTATATATGTATATATATATATTTATATTCTAATATTGTGATATTTTTTCATCTCTTATAACTCCATGCTGGAGTGGCATTGTACTTTTATGCTGTAATTTTTTTAACATTGTGTATATGTCTGTACAATGATGAGATGTAAATAAAGATTACTACACATGTGTCTCCTCAAGTCTGGCAATGTGGCGTCTGTCCAACACGGAATATATCTGAAAAGTATAAACATAAAAATATAAACAACGAGTAGACAAATATTTGTATATTATGCGACAATATAAATATTTTATGCAGATATGCCCAGATAAAATCAATTCAGTTAAACTGTTGCCTGTCAAATGAATTTGGAAAACCTTTTTTTGGACAGTTATTTACAAGTCAATAAAATTACCTTATCAAATAGTATTTTTGTAGCTTTGTGCTGACTGTAACATCTTGTAGAAAAGAGAAGTTTCTCAGCTCTTCCGACCTTTATACATCGTTCGACAAAATCTAAACATGCATTGCATAGATCTCGAAGCTCAAACTGGGAGGCAGCACAATACAAACCTGAAAATACAAGAAAAAATAATTTGAGTTTAAAGCATAAATACATTATCAGTATGGCCATTCAAAAGTAATACATCCGATATTATCAGGTGATTTTTGTTACAAACGTTTTCAGTAAACTCCTTTTTTTAAATTATAAATTTTGTAATGTGATTAGATAATTATATTTACCAGCAACGGTTTCCTCAGTGATATTCACACTTCCGCAGTGAATAAACTGTACCAACATTCGGAACACTTCAGAATCGTATTTCTTGACAGGGATAATAAGTCTCTGTGATAATGACCGACCAATTCCAACTGTTGCATTTTTCTTACTTTTCTTGTTCTTTTTTAAGTTTTTTTCTTGATCAGCTGCTTCCATGGACATGTGTTTCAAAATCAGTTGATACATGATTCTGAAATAAAAAGTAATGTATGAATAAATATGTAATGGGGCGATTGAGGTACTCTATTACTTTCGAGTGGACAAATCACGAAATATTCAGCCAAATAAAATTAAGATTCTTACCTACTCCGTGTACCCATGATGGCACGAACACCATGTACGGGCACTTCACGTGGTCCAACTATAAACGTGACGTCACACATTTCAGGCATTGCCAGAATTAATTTTAGGTGCTCGGAAAGCGCATGCGTACTACTGAAGTTCATTACTTCTTCGTGGGTGGTGTCATATGATCTGCTGTCAAGACTGTTACGTGACCCCCAAGAACTCACTGATTCCACATCAGAAATGTCTGTAGATTCATAGCCTGACGAAGAATCTGAAAACATAAAATGCACATAATTATATTCATTATAAATAATTCAAGTTACAAGTAAAAGTTTAAGCTCGTAGACATTTGTTAATTTCGTTAAAACAAATAAATCAATCACTGAAGAGTAAATCATTCTTAAATATTACCATCATAGTCGAAATCAATAGCTTTATTTTCAAACAAGTCATCATTTCCAGTGGGATCCATTAATGGAAGAGTTGCATATGACCAATTCATGTTAATTTATTACTGAGATACTGAATTTATACGCTCAAATTGGTAAATGAATGAAAATAATAAGATTTTTGTCTATATATACAGGCATCAAAATGTTAAAGCTTTCCTTGATTACATTTTACTCTTGACTTGTGACATAGTGAATCTTGTCACTTATAATGATGCCCTTAACTTAATAGTAATCACAGTAGTTTGTGTTTGAATCTGGCGTGAAAAAGGTGTGAAAAATATCTAAGCAAACCTAAACTAATAAGGTTTTAAAGCAAACAAAATAAGAACAGAACAGGGAACAGAACAGAACATTTATTTTGATTAGATTTGGTTACCATAATACATCTTCGTAACCCCATATTTTCAAAATTAATACAAATTTATCATGTCAATAATACAGTTTCACATGATGGTGTTTATAAGTAATCGAATCGCAATAAACCATACATTACATTTACACATTACATTAATGAAAAATTACAAATAACATAATATAACATGATCTTTTAAGCATACAATTTCCATCGTTTTCTTTTAAGAGGATGGACTTAAATATGTGTAGCAGAATGCTCTTAAAGTCATAGCACGGTTAATATAAATACTAAATTTTTAAGAATTTGTTCTTTTAATCATTTTTTTAATAGTTTTTACAAATTTTTAAACATGCTTGGTTTTTACATAATAATACGTTTTTTATAATATTTTTCCCTTAAATCAATATAACATGGGCAAATCAAAATAAAATGATACTCGTCCTCAATGTCGTGCTTATTACAGTATATACAATAACGTTGATTTCTATCGATTCTTTGTGTACTGTATCGACCTGTTTGAATTTTCAAAGAATGTGAGGATAACCTTAATTTTGTTAAATAACATCTTAAATTGCAAGGCAAAATATCAGAACAGAACAGAACATATCTTTATTCAGACTTGTACATAGTACATCATCTTCAACACATATATATATAACAACTAAATATTCTGCACATGATTAAAGCGTTACAAATCAATACAATTTTAATTTTTGTTTTCATATAAACTGATCTACAAATAACAGGAGAGTGAAAGTATATTACAATAACAAACTTATCATAGTTAATAAACATGGTGAAACGGTATCCATAAAATACAATTTGCATGTGACATTATTGTACTACCATATTTATATTATTTCTATGTTTAAAAGCTTCTTTTAGGTACATTGCTAAATTACATAGTTCTTTTTTTTGTCATTGCTGTTAACAATTCATAAAATTTGAATTACAGATGGTCTTTTATATATATTATCATTGACATACTTTGCTCTAAGATTTCGATAACAAGGACATATACATACAAAGTGGTAAATATCTTCTATGTCATGTAAGTTACAGTTTAAACAAATTCGTTTCATGTCTAGGTATTCTGTTTTTTCCCCGAATCTTCCGGTATGAATGCGAAGAGAGTGAGCAGAAATACGTAACCTGGTAATGAAAAATCTTAAAATTAAAGGGTACTATGTCTAAAATAGTTTTCATAAGTAAAGGATCTTTTTAAAATTGTGTATTCATCAAGGATACCATTTCTGCTAACTGCTCCAAACCATTTTGTTTAAAACCAATCAATCATTCTAGTTTTAAATACAACTTGGAAATGTTTAAAGATAAACTATCATAACTATTTACAAATATATTTAGAAAATCCATAATCGTCTAGAAATCTTTTTTAAACTCGACTTATCCAATTCGTATGACCTTCTAAACTATCTTGCATCGCTAAAATTATACAATTTGTTAAGAATAATATTTCAGAATTAACAAATTTTACACCAAAATTTAATAATCTTACAATAACGTAAAATAATACAAAAGATATCGCTCAAGCTCACCATATACAGCATTATTGCTCGAATTAATAGGCACTTTAAGTATACGTTTACAAAACTTAAAATGTAACCGTTCGATTTCCTTAGACTTGCTAAAACCACATACTTCACTGCCATACAATAATATCGAACCTACAAAAGAGTCAAACAATTGACAGAGTACTTTTAATCTTAGCGGTAAGTTTTTTACAATTATATAATAACACATTTAAACTTTTTAATGCTTTGCCAGATAAATATTCATTATTAAGGTCAAAAATTACCATTGAGGAAAATAAACGTTTCCTAAATAATTAAAACTGTCTACAACTTCAATGTCTGCGCCATTATATGTCCATTTTTCATCTCTTTTTAATCTTCCTCTTTTTCTAAATACCATAATTTTTGTTTTTGACACATTAACTTCAATGCTCCATTTAGTACAATAGCTATATAAAAAATCAAGATTGTGCTGCAATTCTTCAGGTGTTTTTCCAAAAATAGCCATATCATCAGCAAATAACAATAAAATAATAACTATGTCATCTATTAACAAACCGCTGTTTATACTATCCTGTAAAAATAATTCTATATCGTCGAGGAATAATGATACTAAAACTGGTGACATTATCTCCCCTTGTCTTAATCCAATAGAGTATTCAAAAAACTCAGAAAAAGAATTGCATGTTTAACACATGACTTTACAACATCATACATATCTTTAATTATTCCAAGAACTTTACCTTGGGCTCCTGATTTAAAAAGCTTAAGCATAGTGCGTTTCTGTATATAGAATCAAAACATTTCTTTAAGTCGATAAAACCTACGTACAACCTTTTATTATGATTAAGATAATGCTCAATTAAAGTGTATAAAGAAAATATTGCATCTATAGTTGAACTACCTTTTTTAAAACCAAATTGTGCATCTGTTTATTCCCTGATTTATTTCACAAAAAGAAACGATTCTATTATTCAATACTGATGTAAATAACTTTGATAAACAACTTAACAGTGTGACACCTCTATAATCGTTGACGTCATTTTTATCACCTTTCTTGTAAATGGGTATAATAATCCCTTCTTTCCATTTTCTGAAAATACTCCAGACTCTAAAATAACGTTAAAAATATCACATATGTACGGCATCAAAATATCAATAGTTTCTATAAAATATTCATTTAAAAGACAATCATTTCCATATGCTTTATTTGTTTTTAATTTTCTAACAGCTTTCATAATTTCGTCAGAACATATGGGGCGGTCAAATTCGACATTAACAGAGCAACTGTCAAAATCATGAGTACCACTAAACTGTTCAGCTTCTTCATTTTGACATGAAAAAATGTCATCTTCAAGTTTTGAAAAAAATTGAAAAAAATCATCTTGCGTAATTGAATTTGCTGACTTAAAGTTCTTCTTTTTAAAATATCCAAGTATTTTTCGTACTCAAAATTACTTTTGACATGATTATATACTTCTAAAACAGGACTGTTTTCTTTATTTACATGCCACCCTTGAACAAAATTATCGATAATCCGTTGTTTAAAACATAATATAAAAGTCTTTTCACAAACAGTTTCAGGCGAATCCCACACATATATATATAATCTTTATTCACAAAAGGTTATACGCTCCCTTTGCAGCTTACTGAATACACTCCCGTTACTTCAGACCGCTGCTGTAATACGCGTCGATTCATGATATTGACCTTTACCGTGAACTTTAAACGACCAATGAAAGTTGTCCAAATTCCAAATCAGCCTAAAATCTTTATACGCATTTTCATTGGTTGAAACAGATGACGTGTGTACAAAATTATAAATAGACGGGTATTTCCTCAAAATTATGTAAACAAAATACAAGAAATAGCGTAACCAGCGCCAGACATCACTACAGAAGTTTGTTTTTCGTGCAACCATTGAACAAAATTTGGATACATTTGATGTTCTAACATGGTCATTTAAGTAACTTTGTTTTTCAAGGAAAAGCTCACATTCATCGACATAATTGCGAGAGTCTGAGAGAAACCAATTTCCGCGATCTAGATTTACAGTACTGTACATTGGAATTAAAAACATTGGCAGGACAAATTTTGTATGTCTACTGTACTCTGAATCAGACAACTCTACAGTAGACTAACTGTATATCATGTGTAAGGAAGATGCACCTGTAAGTGATGTTTGGAGAGAATTGAATTGTACTGTATTTGACAAAGAAGCCAACACTACACAAGTCTGATCTGCAGGTGTCAAGACAGTTCAGGTGTCAATATGGTATGAATTTTGATTTATGTTAAAAACATTTGAGTTTGTGATAATGTGTTAGTAATGTGACATTATTTTTCACTGCCAGATTGTTTCAATAGACAAGACTTTTTGAATTGTGATTGAACAAAAATTAATGATAGTTGATCAGTGAATCGTAAATATAAAAAGACTGCCACACTACTTTAATAAAATGACAGCCACACTTTTTTATATAAAATAACAGCCACACTCCTTTAATAAAATGACAGCCACACTCCTTTAATAAAATGACAGTTTATGAAGGATATTTAGTATATTTACAAATATTTTTGTGGTTAATGGGATCTATACATTACTGTCTCAGGGGATACGGACAAAAGCCCCCCCCCCCCGGACGAAAGCCCCTCCATCTAAAAATGACAAGGTGGACAAAAGCCCCCCCATGAAATTTTCACATAGGACAAAAGCCCCCCCATAAAAAAGTAAAGGTAGGACAAAAGCCCCCCCCCCCATAGTCAATCAAATTTACATATATTGTATTAAAAATGTGTTTTTTATGTGTTTAAAAGATATATATGGACATCACATGTAGGTGACATAGTGCTTAGGATATTAATTTGATCCCTTTACAAAAGTGATTAAACATTACTACTCTTCTCATCCTTGCTGTGTATATGAAAAGCTAT